CAGTCCATCAGTTAACATCTGGAGAAGACAAAAGCTGTGTGTTTGCAAGAAACAAATCCATAAGGATGAGGATGATAATTTTTTTGTGAACTATTCCTTTAATGCATCAAAACACTTTTCATAATGCATTACGTAGACTTGTGCAACCTGTTGAAAATCACTCCTGTTTCTTTGAAAGAAGATTTACTGTATGCCGCTTACAGTCACTTGGATTATGCACATGCACGTCTTTTCTTTTTTCTGTGTCTGTCTATGGGGACTCATTCTGCGCTGGTAAACTGAGCGCCGTTTCAATCCCCAAACCGACCAAACGTTATTAGCATACAGATTGACATCTATTATATTTAGCCGCATTCCATTTATAATTACATTTACATTAGTAATGAATCATACACCGTAATAAAGGCATTATGCATGCGATGATTAATTACACTGTGGTTGCGCACAAATCCTTCAAGAATTGATGCACTGAAAGGCAGCGGATAAACGCTATTCATAGAGTCTCGGAGGATCTGAAGGTTCCCGATGCCTTTGACAGTTAATCCTTTCTTAACAGGATTTCATGTTGCAAGCTCAAGTGACTTTCCCTACGAGCATCATAGTGATGGTTATTATTGGTTACTCTCATGATAAGTTTAGTTGCACTGTTCAATTTGTTTTGCCAAGATACAATTTCAGCACCTAATCGCACTGATTCTCAATGCATTTATTTAATTTAAGGATTTAAGAGCGTTTATCACGTTATTTCTGCAATTTTAGATGTTTCACCACCATGTTCTCACACAATGTTGAACTTATTTGTTCTGTTCTCATAAAATTAAGAAAGAAGCCATGATAAAACAATAGCTAAGGCATGAAACAAAGCACAATAAAAAAAATAATAAGTATTTTAAAAGCTACTTGCACGCTTACCGATGTTTTTAACGTTTTAGCTTTGCACCAGTAGGTGGTGCTGCAATTAGATTTGCGTATTATTATGAAGGCATCGTGGTTTCGCTTTGTTTGAAAAGCAACATATTTTCTTTTGAATACACAAACATGTTGTGATGCTGCCTCAGTTCCTATTTGGCATCAACTTTTTTTAAAATGTGACTTTTTAGGAATCAGTGTTATTTTTGTGTCACTGAGATACTATTATAGTTTATAATAGTAATTTGAATTAGGTTTTTTATTTTTTTGGATTTCCATTTTTTTTATTAGTTAAAAATGTAAGTAATTTTTTGTGTCTTTTCATAATTTTTATGCGTTATATATTTATTTTTCAATATGTCCATTGGTTTTTGACCCTTATTTAGGTTTGGACCAGTAGGTGGTGCTATAATTAAATTGGTTTACAATTATGAAGGCATTTTGGTTTTGTTTAGTTTAGAAGCCGGTGTATTTTTGCATATTGTTCGAATATACAAAACTTTTGTGTAAATACTGCCTCCGGTTTTTACCAGAAACAAATATTTCAGCAAAAAAACAGTATTTAAATCTATGCAAAATGGCAGAAAGGTGTACGACAGAAAAATCTGATCATCAAAACCTCTAAAAATATATGAAGACAAAGTAATGAGGTCAAACAAAGTGAATCTGAAGTTATAAATATTTTTATCCCTTTTTTTGTTCCGAATATATGGCGCTGTTACCAGACGTCTCTTCATTTATGGTCAAATTTGTTGAAAGCGAATGCTTTGGCATATTAAAGGAATGAATGATAATCCAAAAAATGGGTCATATTTTTGCGGAAATATAGAAAATTCTTAAAGGTTCACAAACTTTCAAGCAGCACTGTATATTATCGCCCAGCTCTAATCTGTTATGTGACTATAAGGCGTGAAGATATTAAGATATTATAAACATGAAGATTTAATGAGATTCTGCTGCAGATCTGCAGTGTTTTTCCCAAACATATCATTCTGAACCAAAAAGTTCAGCTTT